GGGGGGGGGGGGGGGAGGACACGTGGCCCTGCCTGTCTAAAATTATTCGAATAATTTATCTGTATTGAAATTTATTGCTGTGTGTTCCACTGATTGGTGCGTTTTCTCAGAGCCTTTTCTTTTACTCTCTTTTTTTCTTGTTGCCATTCCATTGTTTTTCACATTGAGTACTCTTAATTATGTGATGGTACAAATTGCATGGACTCTGATGCATTCATGGTTGAAGAAGATGAAGTCTGAACATGTGCTGACAATAATGATCTTGTCAAGCCGGGCAGCGGATAGTACAATGATCATTGGTAGGACTCAGTGTTGGACCCAGAGGGACCCAAAATAAAATAGAATTATACCAGGCCTGAATATGATCCTTTTCCCTTTCCCCGCAAAATAAATGATCTAGAAAATCACCATTAATCTTAGATCCTAACGAAATTAAAGTAAAAAACCATCTAAAAGAATCTATTTGATCTTTAAGAAAGGTTCAAGAGATCTTTTAAAGTAGAAATTCGGGGCCAATTTGATTTTTTTTTCATTATTTTTGATAAGGTTACAATTCTCAGTGCTGACCACAAAATTTGTTGAAATTAAGCTATCAACAAATCTTTACTACCCGCCTACCCCCTATTCACAAGGTTGATAATTCAAATGGTCACTAAATTTTGCAAAAGAATTTCATCGGGTCACTAAACTTTAAAAATTATTCAAGTCATCATTGAACTTTGCAAAATATTTACATGTGGTCACAAAACTTTAAAAATCATTGAACTTGTCAAAAGATTTACACGGGATCACCGCAAAATTCAGTGATGAATGTGATAATTTTTAAAGTTTAGTGACCTTGTGGAAACCTTTTGCAAAGTTCAATGATGACTTTGGTGAATTTTAAAATTCAGTGATCCGATAAAATTTTTTTGCAAAATTCAGTGATCATTTAGATTATTAACTCCCTATTCACGTGTTGAAGATCCTGCGCACATAGCTCCATTAGCTAGTAAAGGCGATTCCAAAGGGATGGATGCCAATGTTTAGCATTCCAAAGGTAAAATTGTTGCAAATAAGAACAAATGTGCAAGAGAAACAAAATTAATAGATACTTGGTTAAATGTTTTGATTTTCATACCTTTTCTTTAATGTTGCAATTTGCATTGAGTATTTGTGCGAAAGATTGGTTCAAGGGAACTTTCGTGAACACGAGTTGCTTCCTAATTTGTGAGGATTTCTATATGGTAAATTAGATACACCATTGTGCGAGCTAGATTATATGCTTCACCTCATCGTCCATCGGAGCAGTTTTGGGAAAGCATATATAGGTTCACAAGATCATTTGAGTTATTCATGTTGACATGACCAATTTGTAATATGTTACTTGTGTCTGCCATCCACGTGGAACAAGGTAGTAATAATCAGTATCATTTCGTTGATCATGTGAGACACCCAAAAGATAGAGTCAAGTGCTTAAAACTTTCACACAATTTAAAATATGTTTTGACTTCAATAAAAGTTAATTTCTAAGTCATCGAATTTATAGGAATGTTTTATACCTATCACGAATTTTAGACCAATATAAAAATACCGCCAAAAATCTCAATGACTCCCACAAAATGCTATAAATTCAATTTAAGGATAGGTATAATAATTATAATTTTACAGAAGTATATGAAATTTTAGTATTCTTCCCCTTTGACTTCAGATAAAAATAAAAGATAAAAATCTTCTGGAGCATCAAAATTAAAATATAGTAGGGAAAAAAAATCACGATTGGGGAATTATGGTTTAGAGGCTTTGAAAAACAATTTTTTCCCTTTTAATTATAATTTTGTAATTATTAGGGAGGGGAGAGGATTGGCCTGTTTGACTTTTAACAAAATAACATTACCGTTATTTCACAATTCAGGGGTTAAGTTTATATGGAAAGAAGACCCAGCAAAATCTGGAGAACTTCAATTTGAAATTAAAGTTTTCAGGAAGATTAAGGAAACGTTCCATAAAGAAACTACACTAATTAAAAAAGTTTTCAAATAGAACTAGATTTTATAAGGAATGTTTTGAATCACAATTTAAAAGGGATTTGGAAAATACTGAATTCTTGATGAATTGAAATCCTAATTTCACATGATCATATCATTTAATTCTTGTATAAATACTTGCATTCTTTCTCCACAACTCTCTGTCAAAATATTCTTAGATAAAAAATTGTTTCGAGTTTTTTCAAATAATTCAGATATGTTTCCCAATTTGGCAAATCTTCCAGGCAGGGATATTGTGAGTGAAACAGGGACAAACGAACCAGTTTGTTTATCCTTACACTTAATGCCTTCTTGTAAATGCAAAGTTTCAGTCCCGTCAAAAAAGGATATTCATAATATTGAAACAAATAAAAAAGATTGGGCTAAAACAAGTAATTGCAAAAGGAATGATATTGAATTCATTGATTTTTTGTCTCGCGAGATTTCTAAAAACTGTGGCGCATCTACTCCAGTTGAAGAATCCAACTCAGATGATCGACTAGATGGCGTTGAACTCAGAATTTGGAATCCGGGGCTTCCGAGAAGAAGGGCAATGGGGGTTGAAATAGTTCCATGCAATCAAGTTCTACCTATGAATCCAATAACATTTGAGGATGAAATATTACAGCAGGAAGATCCAATTGTAATGGGGAATGAAATAATTCCATACGTTCAAGTTCAAACCCCGAATTCAATAATAATGGAGGAAGAAATATTACAACACGAAGATCCAATACTGATGGGGAATGAAATAGTTCCATACGATCAACTTCAACCTCCAAATCCAATAATAATGGATGCTGAAATAATTCAACAGTTTCAGATTGAAGATGAGGATCCTGATCATTGGAGAATCACGAAAGTGTTGACAAAAAGTGATGTTGATGGTTCCTCAAGACTCTTGATCGGAAGAAACCAAGTGTTGGCACATATTGCACCTTTCTTTACAAACGATCCATCTAAATTTTGCCAGAATAATGAGGGACTAAGGTTCGCAGTTTTAGATGTCGATACGCGTATAGAGTACATGTTGACGCTTAAAAAATGGAAGACTAACAGTTTTGTGCTGTTGGATAAATGGAAGAAACACTTCGTGGACAGGAGGACACTCGAGGAGAACGATGAGGTGGGCCTTAGATGGGATGTTAACGCTTCAAGATTGGAATTTACTGTACTTAGAAGGCACCATAATCAGGAATGAGATTGACATTTGTTGCCAGATGATCGAGCTTGTGCGTCTTGAATAAAGATTCTGAAGTAGATGATCAAGGGTAGATACAAATAAATGATTTCAAACTTTTTACGTTACAGTATGGGTTTTAGAATTTTTTTTGTGTCATTTAATGTTTTGTTGGTAGTAGTAAAGTTTTTTTAAGTTCTGATTATCCATGTAGTATTAATATTCACATTTATTGCACAGATATGTCTTCCTACAGTTTTTATTTGTTTTTGAATGTGTATGATGTTTTACAGAAGTATATTACAATAATATTGGTGATAGAATTCCATTATATTTCATTAACAATCTAATAAAACGTAAAATTTAACAACCCATTATCGTTGAGGCAATCGAGAAGATTAAAACTTTTGAATAGCCCTTTAATTAACTAGTATAGTTTCTGGTTTAATGGAAAGCAATTGGTTCAAAAATAAAGTTCGTGCTTAGAGGCAATTGCTAGAACTCGTGAAAAAAAAAACTCTGCAGGATTCATGACAGTATGGTGCAAGTCGAGGCAAAATTTGGCCTATCAGATTGAAAATATTAAGTAACAATTCATTCGTATAACTAAGTACAATTTTTTTATTACAGAACTTGATTATCTAATTAGACGTTGATATACCTGAATATATTAGTATTGTCTGCATCATCAGAACACTACATTCAAAGATTGCCGATTTGAAACTAGAGGTTTTCATATTCTGGTTGTGTGGCATTATCCTTGACAACATCCTCATTTTGCACCTTATGAGTTCCTTTTCCATAGTCTCCTCCTCGAGGGTGGCAGTTTTATACAGTCAAAACTTAGAAACTAGACTGTTCGTGTTACTTTCAGCATATAAGAACTCTTATATCCTCTATTCTTCTTCAAATATACAACACATAAATCAAAGGTATGCTTACTTTCCAAATGAAAGCTGATGTAGTCACTTTTGGCAACCTCCCGAGGTGATTTTCCCAAGGACTCACAGGGTCTTGCTCATCACATATTGGGGCACACAGTCCTCGGGGTGACATAGTCCTCGGGGTAATACACCCGAGGAGTAGCGACTTGCATCATCGTGATTTGGTCGGCGGTGTCCTCGGGCAAAAGTCCTCAAGCATCCTTTTGATATATGGGGTTCATGAGTCCTCAAGCTATTCGTTTCATACCGAACCCCCCTTTTGTCAAGCCCATAAGAAATCTTACATTCTACGGACTCTAATATAATTCAAACATCTCAACCCAGGACTCCTATGTCCACAAGAATTCTATGCCAACAATAGCGTCATTGCTCATGCAATTATATTACAAATAAAACACTCTTATCAAGTAGGACTCTATTGGATAAGAATATGCAACTAATTCAATCTTACTAGAAGTACACTACCTACCTCTATAAATACATGACCCAAGTCCATTATTCAGGTATGCTTTTACATACAATTTCAGTATATGTTCTCATATAAATTCTCTGTCTGACTTAAGCATCGGAGGGACGACGAGAACACACTTCGTTGCCTTTGTTTCAGGTATCAAAAGACTCTGTTCGTGCTCTTTTTCAGTCCTCAAGTTCGGGAGGTCTACCAGGTACGGTTTTTGATAGCATCAAAAGCCAACACCATGTTTTCATTGATTGCACTTTGAAACCAATCAACAAGGTAGTGAAGTTCGTTTTTCAAATTCAGCATTCCTCTTTCACCTCATTTTGGGAGCCAGAAAAAAATAATGGCTTTAAGCACGAGCAGTGATGGGGGGGAGGGGGGGTCAGCAACAGGCATCAATTTCTTGGGATCCCAGAAAGCTTGTAAACTTCTCCTGAAAGATGAATTGTATTTTTCATGATAAGAAAATAACATGGAAGAAATGAGCAGAGATAAAAAGAAAGACTGTAATTTCATCAACAAAGGGTCCTGAGTTGATGGCAGTTCATTACAATTTTGCACTAAACCGTCAAAAAGACACCGGCGAGACAGCCACCACAATAATGACACACTAGCATTTCGGAAAATCAAGCAACAGATTGAAAATTTTCACATTATCATCAATTCTGCAAAGGAAATTGCACATAGATAGTGTTACTTAGCAACTTCACCGATTCAATACATGTAAAAGAATGACTCTGCTTTATGAAGAAGAATACATGTATAACAAAACAAATAGAGCATACAGTGAGAAAAAGTTCTCAGAATGATAAATAATTTTTTTCCTGAAACAATGACTGTGGGAGGATAACAATTCAATTATGAAACCCAGTATAGCATCAAAAATAAAACATGTAATTACTAATTAGTATCAAATAGGAGAAATTAAAAAGGGATAATTGCATCTCAGGAAGATAGAAAGTAATCTTGAGCTCCTTGCTCGGATTCTCAGATAGATATATTTTCAATTTCATTTATCCAATGCAAAATAACACAAAATCAAAGTAAAAAATGAAAAAAAAAAATTAAAAAGACATGACAAAAGAACATGTTAACAACATGAGCGCTAAGGAGATCCACATAAAGCAACCGCCTGATAAAAGGAGATGATTTCAGAAAGTTGGGACGAGTTCAAAAGGGGGAGGGCGGTAAAGCCCTAATTCTGTGTTTATTAGGGAAACGACGTCGCTGGCTGATTTTTTTCTTTTTTCCCCCTTTTGGGATTTGGCGAAAAAACTGGCTCATAGAAATGAGGTGAGGTAGGCGGCGTAGAGATTAATATCTCGGTTTATCTCCCATTTATTTATTATTTATTTGAAATATAATTCAAGAGCCAACGAATTTGGAAAATTCATGTTTCATTGATACTTTGTCAAGTGTATAGAGGCAAAATAACTTCGTAATTAGATTAAGTAGTTACTCTATTTTTGTAACTTTCGAGATTATTCCCAATTTGAAACAATTATGTCGAGCAGACTACACATGCTAGTCATGTAGTCCATCGAGTAAGTCCTCATGGCATGCCAAGCCGACCATACGTGCTAATTACATACATGATAGACAATTTTTTGACAAAATTACTAGATATCAACCCCAATTATATAAGTTGACAAGAAGTCAAGTTCTTCTCATGGATCTCATATGCCATGGGGTCTACTTACTCTATGCAAGTTGATACAAAACATGACAATTTACGTTTCACTACTCTTCATTTCCATATATCTCTGCATTCAAATCATCTAAGTCAAGTCATGAAATACTAGCCTAAGTGCATAGACTTGGTCTCATCCAACTTTTCCACGTCTATTCTGCTAGTTGCCCACTTTTGACCTGATTTCAATACCATAATATAGAAAGACGACTAGGAACAATATTAACAAAATGGGGAGAAAATTTTCTATTCTCAAAATGACTTAAAGAAGTCATTACAAATAATTTATTAGAGCCTGTTTGGCAATACACTATAGTTGAAGGAAATAAGAATGAACAAATCAATGAGCTACGAAAATATGTATCTATGCTCTGTTGGTGTAGTCTGCTGTTTTATGATTTTGTCAACAAAATATTTTCACCTGCCCGCCTTTCAACTGCCGATATCTCAACCTCTCTGCATCGAAGCCACAGCTTAATTACAAAGAATTGTGTATCATAGCACCATTGTAATCGGCTGATGATCAGGTGTCTTGCAGTACTCTAGACTACAGCAGTACGCGTTGCATTGTGTGCTGTATAGTTCTTTTTCTTTACTTCGGAACTGAAATGGATAAACTTATCTATCTGAAGCAACTACAGGATTAGGTCTCTGATCCAGTATCTTATGCTTTCTTTTCTCCATAGAACTATTGCAAATGCAACCGGGAAAAGGGTTCGCATAAAAGTTCTCCTCGAGTCTTGGTGTGTCACGGGCTTGTCTAAGATATGGTGCTCCGATTCTGTTGGAGTGTATGCTCTTGATCTCAGATGTGAAATTGTCCCAAGAAATAGCACCTTTATCCAACTTATCTACCAGTTTAACAACATTGAACCTGAAAAATAACGAACAAAATCGATTCAGATTTGACAGAAAAAATAGCAACGAATTGAAGGAGATCAGAAAAGATATTTGCTAAACCTGTCCGGGTTTATTGTCCTGCGAAATCCTTCGAAACTTCTATGCCCCTGTAGAGCCTTGGCCATATTCCCATCGTATGTGAAAACGAACACGTCACTGTATAAGGCTACAAGATAATCTAAGGCAGCGAGTCGGTTCTGATAATGCTTGAAGGGCTCCAACTCGTCTGCTGTTGCAAGTGTTGAGTGAGTGAAAACATTAGGGTACTCGGATCGGAATGCATCCATGCTATTTTTACCGAAAATTTCCCCTGCAACAATGTATATTCGAGTCGAGGATGGATACCCCATAGCCTTAAGAAATAGGGCTGCTTCCCGGGGAGAAAGAGGGCAGCCCCCTTGCCGTCGCCTTTCTTTGCTGTCAATCTCTTTTTCTTTCCAGTGCTTAACACTATACCTCATGCCCCTAAGTTCCTCAGCCTCGTCTGCAGTCAAATTGTAGCTGCAACCAGTGAATGCCAGCATGTCTTTCTCATACCTAGTAAAATATAAACTTAATAGATCCGCAACAAACAAACAAAAATAAAAAAATAAATGAAAACAACAACAATCTTGTGCGATTATTACCTCAAGTGAAGAGCAATATACGGTTCATCATCTTTCCCAAGTCTATCAACGAACTTCTTTCCGAGCTCTTCGATCTCTGTTGTGTAGCGGAGAGCCTCGTAATTTGCACGACACCTGAGCCTCTGGATAGAGGGCGGGAGACCATTATTAGCAAGTCGTGAATCCGTATGAGTAAACTTGATCACCTTGTGCTTTTTTAGCGAACCAAGAACATGTTCTTTGTAGTAACTAGCCTGTAAATAAATCATCAAGATCAGTTCTAAGTCGAGTAGAACTAAAGTGACTAGTCATATATGATAACTCTTATTGTCTTCAAACCTTTGACCAAGAGACGGGAGCCTTGAGATAGGGATTCGAAGTGACGTACTGTAACGGCAAAGATTCAACTATCTCGATATCATCTTTTAAAACTTCAATGAAATGCCTCCAGTCAAAAATATCTTTAAATTCACTGCAAAAATACTATAACCTGAGAGACAGAAATTAAGAACAAGAGATGGTCTCCAATCAACAACATTATTGACTGACATATACCTAGGATCGCTCCAAAAGGACGCGTGATCAAGGGAAGGAAGTACAAGAGTTGCATTCATAAGCTTTGCGACAGCAACCATATCGCATACCTGAAATTAATTTCAAAGTAGATTGAGCGTTTGATTAGCTAAAATCAGAAAAATAAATAGATACTCGAACAAGGATAGCAGTGAACTAACTCCTGTTCTCATTTGATTGAGTCCTCCATTTGCATGAACTAGAATATAACCATTTGTTTTCGACGCTGTCCCTGAAAGAAATTAAAACATTCGTGTATCTCAAACAAAAATATCTTCCTGCAGCAATTCTTGATAGGTAGACTTTGACATACTTATGCGATTCTTTGGTCGAGTAATGCACTTGTAAAATTTATCACTGGTTGGTTTCATCCAAATATCAGGGACCTGTCAAAAAGAAGTTTCTTTGTTATTGTAAGCAGATCATCTAAATCTCAACAGACTAAATTATAAAAGCAGAATGAAGTTCTTATAATTTCAAATTTGCATTCGATGGAAAATAATCTGACTCGGGAAAACAGAACAGAAAAGTTTTTTTCGTGTATATTTGTAGTCTGTGTTTCTATTTTCCATTTTTTCATTAACATGGCTTGGCCGATGTGTCCTCGAACAGCTAATCCTCCTTATAGCATGAGAAATACTTGTACTGAGCAGTTTAAGAACGGTCCAAGGACGAATATTAAGAAAAAGGAATATCTAAACGAGAAGAAAACAACTGAACAAAGGTATACGAGGGTCACTTTGTAATTTGGGTCAAAGGAAACTGAAGAAATTTCATGTCTCAATTTGTAGCCGCCCCTTGACTTCCTAGTGTTTAAAGAAAACAGAACATCTAGCTTACAAAACACAATTCTACAAACTATCACAGCAAATCCCTGTGAATATTGTTCCCAAGTAATCAGAAAAATTGAAATTTTATAAATTTATATATTAATTTCCATCATTAAATACGAGGGAAGAGAATTCAAGAAGAAGTATTTATCTGGGAAAATAAAATAAAATCAATCTTAGTTATCGGAAAATAATAAAAAGCTTGACGTCATTGAAGCCATTAATCAACTTAATAAAAAATAGATCAAACATAATTACTTTGTAATCAATGATTAAACAATGAAATACATGGAAAGAAACCAAACAAAGAAGAAGAATATAATTACCGGCAATTCCCTCATCTGCCGTTTCTTCACAGCAGAACCTGAAGATGTCTCAGAATCAAACGTGACCCTCTGAGCATTAGATAAATCATTCTTGAAATTCTGAATAATCAAAATCTCATTATCTCTTCTAATCATTTTTCCGGCGACTTCGATCATGAAATGGAGCTTTAAGAATGCCCATAACACCAACAGCATCAAGAGAAACCTAAATACCCAACGCCCCATATTCTTCCTTGGTCCAAAAGAATGCATAGATTCCTCCACGCCGGATACCCAATTCTCCGGCACCCTTTTACGTTTCAATAAGTACTGATAATTTACACCGTCACTTTTACTCAATGTTTCTGAGTCTATATCGTTTGCAGAATTACATAAAGCAATTTGAATTTGATCATATGATTTCTCCCTGTCATTCACGGCATCAACTACACGGCGCCGGTGAGTACTGGTAGGCGCCCCGAGTAAGGGGTTGCCAGTGGTGGCACCGCTAGTCATTGCCAGGTGAACACGTAAAGATTTTTTTCCCTTAAAAGAAGTCAAAAAAGGTAAAATAAAACCGAGCCAAAATTATGGAAAAAAGAAAGCGAAAATGGAAATGGTGACGGAGGTTTTAATCACGTTCTGAACCTTTGCTTTGTTCTGACATGTATTTATATGTACGATGAAGTAACTGGACAAGAATTTCTATTCTTTTTATGTTTTTTCACAATCGTGAAAAGTAGTTTCCTCTGTTTTCGTGAAGAAGGGTGGCGGGGCCGGTTGGGTTTGAGGTCACGTGGATTTGGATACTTCGCCTCTGGTTTGTTTTCATTATACTTTGTGTTCTTGCAAATATTTATAAGTAGACGGACAATGGGGTCGTATATCAATGGAAAGGACTTTAATTTTAGTAATCTATGCCAAATTCTTCTCAATTGACCTTTAAGGTATCTTTAATTTAGTTTAAATTTACTTTCATTTCCCTTTTTGTGAATTCAGTAAAAGAATTATATACAAATTAAATTCAACAAATCTTGGTCTGACGGAAAAGGTCTTTTAAATGGATAGTCGATGAATGTTCCACCAGCAAGTTTTGACACATCAAGACCGACTGTCATAAAATTATCTTGATTATATCACTTCAAAACAACACATCAAAATTATAGTTATTTGCAAAGCGCAAGATACGTTAGAATTTTAATACTGCTTAATCGACAATTTTACTAGCTTATGGGGAGACATTAACTACATAACTAATCAAAACCTCTCTAATTCACACTTGTTTTAACCACTAGGGCTTACCCAACTAAAAGCTACCTCACTTCTCCATAAATATGCAATAAACCACCATCGTCAAGGTAGTTATATTTCATTTGGAGTAATTGTACGTTTACATTAGTTTAATGAAGTAAATGTATTTCAATTTTGTTCAATAAAATGATTGTACTTATTTTAATTTTAACCAACTAATTAGATTTTAATTTATGTAACTAACAATAATCAATGACCTGGTGTAATAGTTAGTTCCTCACACGAAATAACAATCTCATTTATATAAATCACGAGTTATTAACTAATATGCAATTGGGTTTCTGCATGTTCAAGTAAAAAATTAGATAGAATACTCGATTAAAATTAAATTAAAATATAGTCATTTGAGTGAACATAATTAAAGTATTTGAGTCAGAATAAAATTATTGTTATAGCGAAGGAAATGTAAAAAAAATAATAAAATTTAAAATTTAAGACAGCTCTCTCTAGAATTAATTTCTCAATGTATTCATCTATAAATTCAGACTTATTCTAACTTGATAATTCACCACAAAAATATGAAAGTAACCGTATTTTGACGATTTCAAGGCATGAGTTGTACCTTGTTCCAATTTGGGACCGCGTGAAAGATCTGTACGTTGATGGCCACCTCCTAGGCTTGATTTGACATCAAACGAATCACTGCCGGTGCAAAGTGCTAATCTACCTTACATTTCATAGTTCTTTTTTTCCAATTAACTAGCCACGCGTCACAACCTCTTTGCTTACTACCTACCCGACAACTTAGTCCGCCTATTGAATTCTTAATTTTCCCATTTCCTTGCTATGGTGGTCAGTGCCACATTGTTATTTTCAAATGGAATGTCACTGAATTACGCGTAAGTGATGGACTGGCTGGCACGATCTTCAAACTCCATTTAAGCAACAATTAACGAGTACAATGACGTACCTTTTGGAATGGTATCTTTGTTGGGGCCATGATAATGTTTCAATGAAACTTAGCCCCACCTATTTTCTAAAAATTTACTTTCAATTATACGTTCTTTTAATAAAATAATTTATACGTAAATACAAAATTTTTTCTATAATTTTTAACCACATGCTGTTTAAAGAATCATTATTATCCAACTCATTTTTTTACACCAGATAGGGCTTAAACATAGCCTTATTATGTTAAGGGATTGCAAATTTGCAATGTTCTACCATTTATTTTAATTTTAATGAATTTAAGGCTATATTTGTAATATGAGTGTGGTGTATTTATCAAAAATATTTTCCAATTAGTGCATATTAATAAATTGGAGGAACATATGAAGCCCCTTTTTAGGGCTCCATTATTTTCAAAATATATTTTTCTCTCTTTTTTTCAACTACACACTCTTCAATAAAATAATATTACACGTAAATTCAAAATTTTTTTCTTCTTTAACCATGTACTTTTTTTAAAAAATACCTATTACAAAATATATTTTTCTCAAAAATTAATTATAATCGAGCTCAAAGAAGGGCAAAATTTGTGATGACAATAAAATTACCTTTGTTAAAAGAAAATTAGGCCATGTTTGAGCCACATTTTTTTAAAAAAAAATACACTCTTAAATAGTGATTTGACATCATTTCAACCACATATTCTTCAATAAAATAATATCAAACATTCAAAACTTTTCATTATTTTTAACTACACATTTTTCATCAATACACTGTTTAAAAATTTATTTTAAGAAAAATAATGTGACTCAAACAAGGGTTTTAGATTTTACATGCCATGTCATTATATTTGTCATTTTAGCAAGGAGGATAGACTAGAAGCCTACAATGAAATCAAAATTAAATTTTAATGATGGCATGGCTATGACATAACTGGACTCTTTTTTCTAGGTGGAATATGTCCTCTGGATCAACGTAACCAAGCAACAGATTTTCTTGTATTTAACGAAGAACCCAATCTTCATTTACGGCTGAAGAGAATAGTGTTTGTCTAAAAGGGTTGTAAAAGAAGAGAAAATGACAGAAACGCCCATCTATTTCTAAACCAATATTTCAAAAAAAAAAAAAAAAAAAAAATTCTCTTCTAACTTGCTAAAAAATATTTTTAAAAAATTATTCAAACATATTCAAAAGTATTATTTAATTTCAAAAGCGGTTTTTGATTTCCAAAGGTCATACAAAAAAGGGCCATGTCAACTTAATGAGACCATTTTTCGCTAGACTTTTGTAACATCAATTCATTTCTCAACGACATTCAATTGGCTTAAATGGTCAATGAACTTTTTTTTCCCACCGGGTCACTAAACTTATAAATTGCACCCGTTAGTCACTTCACTTTAAATTGGTACCCCGTCTATCACTGCATAAACGACGCTTACAAAATTGGAAATGTTTGATGACAAGACTAATGGTATAGCTTACGTGGCACATCATTGTATTAAAAAGATGCCAAATCACAAAGGTGCATTCTAAGTGGACAAGTTGCTTGGGCGTGGACAATTTTTAAGTTCAATGACCCTATGAAAACTTTATATGAAAAGTTCAGTGGCCATTTAAGGAATTAACCCACCTTTATAATAGATATTTTCAACTTTAACTCCACTTTGGTAGGTCTCTCTAACAACCAATTCCATTTAGATGAATTAAATCATATTTTGTGACCTATATTTAAACAAATGGGTTATGGTCAAAATAAACACACAACTCATGGTCACGATTACATAATCACAAATCACATAAGTTCACAGTAAAAAGACACAATTTGAGGATTGCAATTACATAATTAGTCACAATTCACACATTTCAATAAATCTTAAAATTTACCTAATTCAGTGATCAAAACAACTCACACACCCCACTCCATCATTGCCGATACCATCAAAATTATCACCACCACCTCAAATCCACAGTTCATAACACCACCACATTCACCTCCAACCCAACACTACCTTTTCATCGTAGGAGAATGAGAATGGGAATGCCTAATGCATCAACTCAAACAACAACAGTCAAACCAAACCTCATTAGTAGATGGTCCACCTAGGAAACCTCTTATAGTGGACACCTAACTAAAACAACAACGGTCAAAACCAAACCTTATTCACAAATGATCCATTCGAGGAAACCTTTACAATTGAAGCCCCAACTCCTCCCACAATACCCTTTTAGACCTTGAACTTTAACAATGTTTCTACTAGTCCTCATACTATTATCTCCTACTAGTTCTTCAGTAGCACAGAATTTTCAAGATCATTTTCATTGACGAGTTTCTTCTACAAGGAGATAGTCAATCCGGGTGATGATGAGGAGTGGACATAAGTTGCTGAAGTTCAGGATTTTGACTAATAGGGGAGGGTAGTAGAGGAGGAGTGAGTTTTATTATGATATTTTACGATGGGAAAATGAAAAGGGTAAAACATCAGTATTTTACAAATTTTTGGTGGGTTGGGAGTGGTGGTGGCCCGCAGATGGGGGGTGAAAGTAGAGAGGTGCATTTTCGATTGCGATGGTGGAAATGGTGTTTTTGAGGGAGATAAATGGATTCAATGATAGGTGGGGTGAGGTGTAATAAACACCTACTTTTTGGAAGTGTGAACTTAAATTCTAAATTTTGAAATGACATGTTACAAACACAAGGATGGATGTAATTTCGTCTTAGAAAATTGTGTGACCCTCTTTCATCACTTGGGTCTCTGTGTAATATCCATTGTCCTCTTGTCCAGTCT